AAATCGTTGTCGTTCTAAAATGCCATTTAAAAACAAAGACAGTGTAAACAGGGCCTGAGTGTGTTCTTTTCGTGAGCGGATTTGCAACGGGGGCGGGCAAAGGATCGCGATGCCGGTGTTGTCTATTGGACGAACCGTACGTAATACGTACATAGCAGAGCTTGCAAAACTGTGTTTTTTTTGTCGACAACACGAACGTTGTCAACATAACTCACTGGAAATCCAAAATGCTTAAACACCAGCGACTTCATTGAAAGAGGAGAGGGTTTAAGCTCTGTCGACGGGTCTCCTGCTTCTGTAGTTTAACAAGCACTTCAACAAGCCTGTTTTTTTTCCCGCTTGGCAAGCCAAGCTGACGTGACATGGGGGCGTGGCAGCATCGACGATTCTATTTTTTGATTCGATAATCGAAATTGAGCATAAATTTCGATCGATTTCGATTAAAAATCTAAATCGTGACACCCCTAATATATATATATATATATATATATATATATATATATATATACACACACACACACACACACACACACACACACACACACAAGGCGTTCTGGTCTAAAAAGGAAGGCGTTCTGAGGCGCATTGCTGGCGCGTTTCTATTTTAAGAAACTATAATAGATTTTTCAATAGACCAAAACAAACCCGGTCTAAAGTCCAGCGCAGTTGCGCCTCGCTTACGCACTGCTTAATAGCCTACACACAAGATGTAGAGCAATACGCAAATAACTTCACATATGAAAAAGAATTTAAATATTAAGAATAGATATAGGATATAAATATAAAGGATTAAAATATTACAAAACATATTATTTTCTAGCCTATATAAATATGAAAAACCACTGCTTTTGCCTTCTTCATCTCGGGAGGCTTTTTCATTTCTTTCATAACAATTTGCTTTTGTATAATGTTATTATTATTAGCAGTATTATTTAATATATCCCAATTTATATTTGTTTTATTAAAAACAAGCTTAGATTTGCCCACCTGTCAGGTTTTAGACCATATAGGGCACAGCATGTGTTTTAGGATATAACTCAGGTTTTTGAGCACACTTCGTTATTATTGTTGATTTATTCGTTTGCTGGAAATTAGAACTGAATTTAGAAATAGTTTTAAAACAAGTCTTTGCGCTTAACAAACAAAATTAATAATTCATAGGCTAATTGATGTCTGTGCATAAAGGTTTCCCTATCCACGAGAGCAAAAGTGAAAGTAGATCATTTATCTTTCATTCTCGCGCGGTAGATGCTCTGATTAACTGTTTTCTTGCTACTGAAATGCTCTGTTTTTCCACTTCCACTTACTTTACATCATGTAAATAGCAAATGCACTTATGGCGCGACGCAACTGGCTGTTAAAGGGAATGGGGGACGAGAATCTGATTGGTTTATTCTCAAAACACACCTATAACTCATTAGGAAAATAAACTCAACCCTTTTAGACCATGCGCCACGGCAAAGCGGATTTTTCCGTCCTTATATTAGCAAAAATGCATTCTGACACGGCCTGAGAGTGTTTGCGACCTGCACTTTACGCTTTGCCCATGGACCTTCAAAAAAAAGAGCCCTAAGAATCCGATACTTGTTATGTAATTAAAATTTCGATTCCTCTTGTCCAATTTCAGCATGCACATTTTTTCAGGAACTTCGCCGCTGAAGAGCACCTGTCGCCTATACCCAGTCACGTGGGTATAGGAAAAATGAAGCTTTGGACGTCACTGATCACATGATGGTGGCAAAACTAATCAAGCTCCGTTACACTGCTTCACTGCGAGATGTATCGTTGCTTTGATACATGCTTCGAACCCTCGGCGCACAACGTCACATCACTATTTGCTGTGTGTTTGATCCTTTGCCTTGTTTATTTGTTTCATTCTGTTCACTGCCTGCCTTGTGACCATCTGCCTGTTTTTGACTAGGACGCTGGATTGCCCTCATACATATGTTTGCCCCTGTATTGCCTGACCATTCTAATAAAACTCTGCATTTTGGATCCTCACCCCTGTTGTCAGTGTCACATCTCGAGTTACAGAATTCCTCGAAAAACACTTGCAATTTAGATGCAGTCACCTCATGCTTGTGATGCGGTACAATCCGTGATCTCCACATATTAATATAACGGCTTGGTCTTTAGACTGTAAAATCGCGACGTAAAATCAATATTTAACTATTGATCTTGGGTCACAAATATTGCTATTGTGATAATAATACAATAATCATGCAGCCCTAACTCTGAGCACTATCAGTTCCTTTGTATTTAATGAGCACTTCTTGTGTGTATTGCCTCTTCTTGCTGAATCACTGAATGCCTCCTCAATTGTAAGTTGCTTTGGACAAAAGTTTCAGCTAAATGACTGAATCTAAATGTATGTGCATGTGTGTGATGTACCTTCATCGATGTCGGGTGGCAGTCCTCCGACAAACACCTTCCTGGAATATCTCTCCATCCTCTCTCCGTTCTGACAACGGCTCGGAGAACTGAGACCCGGAGTCAGAGACTGATCCCCTTGACCATCATCCAGGAAAACATCCTCAAAGGGAAACAATGAAGAACGACCTGCACCACAAGAACAACAGCAGAAAAAGAGGAGAGGAGGAGAATCACAGGAGAGCAGAACACAGACAGAGAATTAGTGATGATTAGTGGAAAAAAGCTTTACAACTTATTATATAACATAACAAATTTCATTAATATTATTATAAATTAATATATACTGCTGTTAAAAAAATCAGGATAAACAATATTTTATGTAGACAGGATGCATTAAATTGCTCGAAAGTGAAAACATTTATAATTTTTGTATTTATATGCTGTTGTTACTAATTTCTCTTATTTAAAAAAATGTAATTTAAAATGGATCAGTTTTCGCTAAAATATTTAGCAGGACAACTTTTTTCAGCATTGATAATAATAATAAGAAATATTAATATAGTAATGGTGCTAAAAATTATGGTTTTTATTCTAAAAACAAATGACTGTCAAATATACAGAAATAAAAAACTGTTTAAATTGTAATATTATTTTACAATATTCCAATGTTTTTACTATAACGTTTATTCAAAGATAATGCAGCCTTGATGAACATGAGAGACTATTAAAAACATCAGAAAAATCTTACCAAACCCAAAAGTTTTAACAGTAGTATACAGATGTTATAATATTATATTTTCATGACATGGATTGCAATAAAGTTTGGTTAAAAGGTTAATTTATTAGATTAGACTTGATTATGGCAGCAATAAGATGCAATAAAGATTTCAAAAAATCATACATTTGACCACCCATAAATACTTCAAGTGTTAACTGAAGACATGTTAAAAACACAGATGTGATCAACATGATCAAGTAGGCATTACTATCCACTGATTCATAAAACAAAATATGCTCAAAGGCATATTTTCATATTGCATTGCAAAGTGCTGTGACCAGAAAAAAAGACTAAACTCAAAACAGATGTGTATGAAATTTTTTTTCGTTTTATCTCACAGTTCTGACTTTTTGCAACTCACAATTGAATTGTATCAATATAATAATATAAAGTTCTACAGAGTTATATTCTCACAATTTTGAGTTTTTATCTGAAACTCCTGACTCTATTTTCTACAATGTCAAGTTTGATCTTGTAACTCCGACTTTATTTCTCGCAATTCTGATTTAATTTCTTGCAATTCCAACTTCTTGCAATTCCCTCTCTTCTCACAATTTCGACTTTCTGCAATTACGACTTCTCGCAATTATGACTTTGTCTCGCAATTCCGACTTCTCGCAATTCCAACTTATGTCTTGCAATTTCAACATGTCTCGCAATACCGACTTCTCGCAATTCCAACTTATGTCTCACAATTCCAACTTATGTCTCGCAATTACGACTTCTCGCAACTCTAACTTCCCCCAATTTCTACTTACTTCTCGTAATTCCGACTTCTCGCAATTCTAAATTCTCGAAATTTCGAATTCTCTCAATTCTAAATTCTCACATTTCCGACTTCTCGCAATTCTAAATTCTCGTAACTCCGAATTCTCGCAATTCTAAATTCTCACATTTCTGACTTCTCGCAATTCTGACTTCTCGCAATTCTAAATTCTCACAATTCCGAATTCTCGCAATTCTAAATTCTCACATTTCCGACTTCTCGCAATTCCGACTTCTCGCAATTCCGAATTTCTTATTCCAATTTCATCTTACTTTTCCCAATTTCGACTTCTTCCAATTCTGAATTAATTTCTTTCAATTCTGACTTACTTCATGCAATTTCGCCTTCTTTCTCACAATTGCAATTCTGAGTATCCATCTCACAATTCTCTGTATTTCTCACAATTCTGACTTCATTTTTTGCAATTCCGGCTTCATTTCTCACATTTGTAATTCCGAGAATATATATCTCACAATTCTGACTTTATTTTTGGCAACCCTGACTGGAATTCTGACTCAATTTCTTGCAATTCTGACTTCATTACTCACGATTGTAATTCTGAATATGTATCTCACAACTTCTTGGAATTCTGGCTTTATTTCTTGCAATTTCAGCTTTATTTATTACAATTTTGGCTTTATTTCTAGCAATTCTGACTTTATCTCTCGAAATTGCAGTTCATCTCATAACTTCAAGTTCTCACAATCTGAAATTTTTTTTCTCAGACTTTGACTTTTCTGTAAATCACATCTCACATTTCTAATTTCATATCTCACAACTTTTTTATCAAGAGAAAAAGTCAAAGTTGCAAAAAATAAACTTGCGATTCTGAGAAGAAAAGTCTGAATTGTGATAATTATGCAATAAAAAGTTGCAATTCCCTTTTTATCTATTCTAGTGTAAATAAAATGCTTCCTTTTTAAATCTAAATTTCAGTTAATGACAGAGCGTTGTTTCTAGTTTTTGAAAGCGTATTTTAACATGCAAAGTTATTAAATTCAGTGTCATAATGCAATCTTAATTAATACGATTTTATTAAAACACTTAACTCACATTTAAAATTATAAATCACTGTTTTAGACAAATAGCAAATGAGTAAAAATAGAAACAAAATATCCATGAAATAAATCCATCTACTTTCATTCAGCTTCATGATCATAGTTGTCAGACATACAATGGTTGCTGAATGCTAAAAAAAAAAGTGTTGAAAAATGTTATGAGAAAAATACTTAGTTAAACTAAACTAAAACAAAACACATATTAGATGTAAATTGCACAGAACAAGATGATAAAATTAGTCCAACTCCTAAAATAAAAAATGCAGCAAAGCCTGATTCATTCCAAATAAACACTATCTGTCAACTTATTAAAAACTGTTAAACATTTTTGTTAGAAAAATCAATGGCTTATTGGACCCCTCTATTGATATGCCACAACACAAAACGAATAATTAGCAAAAATCAAAATTAACATGAATTAATGGCATCACTGGAACAAAAGAAAGCAAATGTTATTATGACCCCTCCATTATAAACAACCAACAATTCAGCCTGAGCAAAAGCACCATCATTTCTGCCAGCACAAACAAAGGCGACAAGTTACCTCTTCTGCGACCAAAACTCCTGGCTGCTCAAAAGTAGAGAGAGAGAGAGAGAGTGAGAGAGAGAGAGAGAGAGAGAGAGAGAGAGACAAAGAGAGAGAGAGAGAGAGAAAGAGAGAAAGAGATAAGAGAGAGACAGAAGAGTGAGAGAGAGACAGAAGAGAGAGAGAGATGGACATGTTTTTTTTTTTTTTCAAACGTGGTTTCACCTGTCATTGCATTATAAAATACTTCATAACGCAACACTAGCATGCACTGCATTTTGAGCATGGACGACATTTTTATAGTCGTTTTTATGGATTGCTTTCTCTTTCATGTGAAGAGAATCTTCCAGATCAAGACAAAGTTAGCTAAACTGTTGACATGTTTACACAGCGGGCAACTCTGACATTCAGAGTATATATATATATACATACATATACTAGTATATTAATTGATTATATAAATTATTATATAATATAATTATATAATATTAAATTATTATATTAATAATATTTATTTTTTCATTTATTAAATAATGTTAAATAATAAATTAGATTTATATTATACATTTAATAAATTTTATATTATTGAATTATTATATTAGTTCTTATATTAATATAATAATTATATTAATATTACTATGTTATTATTATTATTATTATTATTATATATTATTAAATGTGAATGAATTTTCTATTACTATATTAAATTTTATTGCTAATGCCAACCACTAAGGCTATTTTCATAGCAAAAAACTGGGTTGAAAGCAGCAAAATCCTGAGTAAATTTACTCGGTTTAGGTAGTATTTGGTCCCTCTCTAAATTGAGTTAAAGTTACTCAAGTTAATAAGGCAATAAAAGGATTAATTAGTTGATGATTGAGCACTGGTGATAAACACCTACTGTTAATAAGAAAACCCAAAACTACAACTGACTTCAGTCACAGCCTTAGATGAAATCAGCTGAAATATAATACACAATGTCCCAATCTCAGCAGAGGATCAGCTCGATCAATAAGCAACTCCACAGACAGCAGCTTTACTTATTACTTTATCTGGTTGCCCTTATTTAAAGAGGGACCAAATACTCTCTGAACTGAGTAAATTTCAGGATTTTGCTGTGAAGTAAGAAAAGTAATACAATAAAAAACCCCCAAACAAATAGATGTTTTAAACAACATTTTCTGAGTGAGAATAAATTAAAAACTTCCTTATATTAAACACTCTAATAATACACATTTAATAAAGAGGGAGCATCTCATCTCTGACATTAACAGAACTAATTTAATCTTCGCACTTCACCATTTACCTTTCTTAAAAACAGAAAGCATGACATTTTCACAGTAGGATGAATGTGCGGTTTTCATTCTGCCATGTTTCACTTTTTGACTTTTCATTAAAACGGTCTGCGCACACAGAAACAGGAGATGTCAGGAGGTCTTTTACTCTTGGCAACACTGAAAGCGGAGAGGATTGAGTCTCCAGCGCCTGCTGTTTGAGAAGTGACTGTATAGGTCAGCAGGAGAAAGAAGAGTGTCAGTGATGCAGCAGTTTCTCTTTCTGTCGGAGAATAACCGCTGTCACATTTAGCAAGAGCGCAGGAGTGAGAAACAGTACGTGGAAACCCCTCGGGCTGATTCTTAATACAAGTCAAAGCGTATCACACACAACCTCCACACACTGCAATACTGAGTAAAATACATGGACTCATGGAGTCTGACAAACTTTGTGATGGTCAGGAAGACTCTCCATTTTCAATTTTGCCTCATCGAGAAAAGAAAAAGATATCATTTTTATTTGTTTTTAATTACACTTTATTCTCAACTGTTTAAAATTATATGTCGAAAGGTCATGACAACAAATGATTTTACTGCTTTTATTTATTTTAAGTTAGTTAACCAGGTTTTAATATCAAACTATTTTACACTGTAAAACTCAAGTCAACTTTATCAAATGAAATGAGTGTAGTTAACTCAAAATTTACTCAAAGTTAATTCTACTCATTTGAAAAGAGTTTTGAACTCAGTGTTGAAGGTAAAGGGTTCATTAAATACCACATTACTTCAACTTAAATGGAGCAAGTTCACAGTACTCATATACATTAGTTTTTGAACTCAAATGGTTTGTAGCAATAGGTTTGAGTTGCCTTAACTTATTGGGTTTCACAGTACACAGCTGGTTTGAGTTCTCTTCATTTATCGGGTTTTACTGTGCTCAAATTGCTTCAATTACTCAAAATGAGTAAGTTCACAGCACTCATTAGGATTAGTTTTTTAACTTAAATGGTTTGTTGCAATCGTTTTCCTTACTATTTTAACTTATTGGGTTTTACAGTACTCACTTAATTCAACAAAAAATTACAAGCAGAAATTTTTTTTACAGTGTTACACACTAAAAATCACAACAAAACCAAAATGAAACAGTTAAACAATAAAATAAACAAAACAAATAAATTGAATATTTTGTATTTTCTTATAGGTGTGGACAGAAATTACACACCTCTCTCCACTGGTTAGTCAAGGAAACATAAAACTGCAATTCTAACCTGTTTGTTTGTTTGTTTGTTTGTTTGTTTAATTCATTCATTCATTCATTCTTTCATTCATTTGATTGTTTTTTTCATTCTGAACACCAACACAAATTAAACATTCATCTGAAGGTACTGGAAATTCTAACTTCCTTCAAATGAAAGGTTTACAAATATCGGAGCAACAGTAACATTAATTACAATAATTATTTTTATGCAAGCCTTAATTAAATTTTTAAGCATGGCTCAATGGAAAGGGTTTTTATAGCTGGTCCAGTCAGGACAATGATTCAGATTTTCACTTGTCCTGCCATAATTTACCTTGACTCAGCTGAAAAACAATAAATAAAATATGTAAAATATCAAGTGTAAAATATAAACATTTAGTTGTTTATGTTGCTTTGATCCATGTAAATGTTGAATAATTTGTGCCATGTAGCATTTAAATACTTTTTATGATCCTTAATTGCAGTTTTGGTATTAAAGAATAAACTAGTAGCATAACGTACATACATTTAAAAACATTTTGTTTTTGTTTATTGACTGCTATCGTTTGCAAGTCTGGACCACGAAACCAGTTATAAGGATAAAAAAAAAGAGATTCAAACTAAACTAAATACATATTAGGCATCTGATGTTTAAGAAAAATCTAAATGCTTAGAAAATTGCCTTTAAAGTTGTCTAAAATAAGTTCTTAGCAATGCATATGACCAAGAATTAAATTTTGATATATTTGTGATGGGAAATTTACTAAATGTCTTTATGGAGCAAGACTGATGATTTTTTAAATTAAATAATTTTGACCTTTACTATGCATTTTTGGCTATTGCCACCGATACATAAAATGTCTTCCTCTACTGTTTGCTTTCACTTTAGGTTGAGTTTTAAAGACAGATATTCAGTTGTTATTTGACATCGATACTACAGAAAAGCCATTCTGTATGATTTCAAATATTTCAGTATTATTATATTGAAATATTGATACTTTTAACAACACTACACTTGGCATGAAAAAAACATTATCTTGTGTCAATTGGAGTCCTTTCTTAAGTGTTGGACTACATGACCTTGCACTAGATGGACATCTTTAGCCATTACAACACGTCTCACTGTTATTTCAGCACCTCAAACCACTTTTTAAAGACATCATGTCGAGCTAAAAATAGTTGCGCTTTTGACATGCAGGGCAGCATATCAATGTCAGTTTTAAAACCAGAGCAGTCAGCTAAATCTGTGTGGCAAGATAAACATATTTACATATGAGCAAGAGTGAAGAAACTGAAATAAAAAATAAAAGAAGAACATGTTTGATTCATTGTTTGCTTTAAATAAACATAAGCAAGTTGTCATTGTCATAAAATTTGACATAAATTTTTAGAGGCAATGTAAATATATTTATATTATATAAATTATGTTGTATATTCATTTTAATAGATTCATTTTATAATAATTACAATAAAATCAACCCAGGCTCATTATTGATTTGTACCCCTGTATACAATTCTGGAGATTGTGAAATACATAACAGGAGGTACTTTTTTTGCAGGAGGTACTTTTTTTGTTTATGTTTTTGTGAGTCCACCAGAGGCCGCTGTGTATGCTTTTTCAGATCTCAGATTTCTCTTGTGAGTGCCGTTCGTGCGAGCTGTTATCGCATAAATGCACCAGAGGCCGCTGACTGACCCCACCCACCCTTTCCCTAAACCCAACCAATAGTGTTTTCAAAACCACAGACTGACCCGGTTTCCCCCTTCCCTAAACACAATAGAGAGTGTTTTCCAAAGCACCTATTGACCCGATCACACACTTCCCAAAACCCAACCGATAGTGTATTCAAAAGCACAGATTAACCCGATCACCCCTTTACCTAAACACACATGATAGTGTTTTCAAAAGAATCGATTGACCCGATCACCGCTTTCCCTAAACACAACGGATAGCGTTTTCAAAGCACCGATTGACCCGATCTCCCTCTTCCCTAAACACAACGGATAGTGTTTTTAAAAGCACCTATTGACCCGATCACACACTTCCCTACACCCAACCGATAGTGTTTTCAAAAGCACCGACTGACTCGATACCCACCTTCCCTAAAAACAACCGATAGTGCTTTCAAAAGCACAGATTGACCTACGCCCACCACTTTCGCTAAACCAAACCGATAGTGTTTCCAAAAAACACAGATGGACCCAATATCCACCTTCCCTAAACCCAACCGATTGTGTTTTCAAAAGCACAGATTGACCCTATCACCCCTTTGCATGAACACAACCAATAGTGTTTTCAAAAGCAACGATTGACCTGATCACCGATTTACCTAAACCCAACCGATAGTGTTTTCAAAAGCAACGATTGACCCGATCTCCACCTTCCCTAAACACAATCAAGAGTGTTTTCAAAAGCACCGATTGACCCAAACCCCCCTTTTCCTATACACAACCGATAGTGTTTTTAAAAGCAACGATTGACCTGATCACCCTTTTTGCCTAAACACAATCGAGAGTGTTTTTAAAAGCACCGATTGACCCGTGCCCACCGCCTTTCCTAAAACCAACCATCAGTGTTTTCAAAAGCACCAATTTACCCGATCTCCCCCTTTCCCTAAACACAACCGAGAGTGTTTTCAAAAGTAATCTAAAAAAAAAGAAAAGCCCCCGCAGCCGCCTGATTTCTACCACATTTTCAGATTTTACTTTATTCTTACTCTGTTATTTACTTGTTTATTTTTATTTTTTGTCTTTTGTTTTATCTGCTTTTTTGTAACCGTTCTTCACCAGACTTGGACCCTGTCATCTCCCCTCTGCGTCTCAAGGCCGCTGACATATGCGGCGAGCCACTGAGCAAACTGGTGACAGCGGAAAAGCTGTCTTCATGGAGGTAATCGGTCAGCTGGTAGCGCGAAAAGAAACTAAAGCCGTCGGCTGCGTCATACAGTACCTCCACTGTAGAGTTCATTTTAAAAGACGAAATGCAGCCATACGTAGCTCTGGCTACATAATTCGCTCTCTCCAGAAATGTATATGGGGGTACATTTTCACAATGAGCCTGTGTTGAATAAAATGTTAAATTAGATTATTTATAAACTATTTAAATAATTATACAGTTAAATAAACTTGCCACTGTTTAATATTTTATGCCAAAAAAATCTAAATGACAATCTTTTGTTTAAATTTAGATTAAATGTTATAAATAGTTTACAGAACACAAAAAATGTCTTACTGAAACACATACCTATGAATTGTAAATCCAGAGTAAATGGGAATATTCAAATGGTTTCATAATGTTTAATACTAATTAGTACATGTACTCAAAATTATTAGTCCTCTAGTGAAAATTGTTTAACATTTTTTCCAACACATGTCGAAACATTACAGTTTTAATAAGTAATTTCTAATAACTAAATTCTTGCATCTTTGCCATGATGACAGTACATAATATTTTACTAGGTGTACTGCAGGATACTAGTATTCAGCTTAAAGTGACATTTAAATGCTTAACTAGGTTAATTAGGCAAGTCATTAGACAAAAGTGATTTGTTCAACAAAAGTGGTAGCCAATTAGAAAAAAAAAACTTAAGTGGGCTAATATATTGACTTTAAAACCCGTTTTAAAAATACCAAACAGCTTTTATTTAAGCCAAATTATAAAATAAATAAGAAAACAAATATTATATTAAATACTGTTTCCTTGCTCTCTTAAAAAGCATCTGGGAAATATATGCAAATGTATAAAGAACTGTACATATTACTATAATTAGTTTGGTCTAATGGGTCATTTGGTCACAGTCCGGTTACCAAAAAAATATTGGTAAACTCTAAAATAATGGTCCATTAGTTAATGTCAGTTAATATATTAACTAACATGAAACTATTAATAATACATGTATAACTGTATCTTCATTACCACTAGTGAATATTATTTAAGATAAATACCATTAGTTCATGTTACCTCTGGAAGCAGAACTTTGGATTTTAATGATGCATTAGTTAATGCTGAACTATGATTAATAAATGCCATAAAAGATTTTTTTATTCATTAATACTCCTTCAGCTTTATCTTTATTTCAGAGGCCACCACAGCGGAATGAACCGCCAACTATTCCAGCATATGTTTTACTAAGCAGATGCACTTCCAGCTGCAACCCAGTACTGGGAAACACTCAAACACCCTCATTCACACACACATACACTACAGCCAGTTTAAGTTTATTCAGTTCACCTATAGCGCATGTCTTCGGACTTGTGGGGGTAACTGGAGCATCCGGAGGAAACCCACACCAACGTGGAAAGAACATGCAAACTCCACACAGAACTGCCAACTGACCCAGACAGGACTCGAAGCAGCAACCTTCTTGCTGTGAGGCGACAGTGCTAACCACTGAGCCACTGTGCCGAGCAGATTATTCATAATGTTAGTAAACACATTAACTAATCGACCATTATTCTAAGGTTTTACCAAATTATTTTCTACTCAGCATCAAAAAATAAAAATAAAACTTACAGTATGTCAACTTTACAATTTTATACACCTTCAGACCAATCTCCAGCCGGTGCAACTCACAACTTTAAAGGCAAGTTGATGTGAACAGACATGGAAACTATTCTTCCAGTGATAATGTCTAAATGAGAGGTTTTTAAGGCTTCTTCCTGTCCTGCAGCATCCATTAAACACACCAATGACACACCAGACCTCAAATGTCCCAATTTGACCTGTTCAACAGTACCTAAGCACATACACAACAAGCACCTACTGCAAGCATTAGGCTAATTAGCTCAATTAGCACAAGTCATCATGGTGACCTGGTAAAAAAATGCTCAAGGCGTTTCCGCTCTTTCATGTGTGTAGCCCTGGCCGTGCGCCACTTGCTGAGGTGGGCCGTGTGTGTGTGTGTGTGTATAAGCTTTCAGAGATGCTAATCATAGCCGGAGAGACGCTCATGTGTGCGGTTTTGGTGGCACCAAACATGAGGAAACTGAGGGTCAGCACATTGCACTGGAGGCCTGCTGGACACTGATGGAAGAGCCAAACAGGTTTAGCAATTGGTTGATGATGACTCAATAGGATATACGGTATATTAGGGCAAAGTTTATGACAAAGTAATTTAAATGCCTAATTTTATTTTAATTGCTCTGTTTAACTTTTTGAATCAGTATTTCGAAACAGGCTGATCACATTAATGGACAAATATTATACTATTTATACATACATTCATTCATATGTGTTGGTCTTCCGATCTTAAATGGAAGTAATGTGCAAAAAAAAAAAAAAAAAAAAAAAAAGGGGTGGGGGGTGGGGGTGGGCACAAAGAGAAAAGCATATACTACTGATCAAAAGATTAGGATAATTAAAAGTAAAATAATAATAATAATTATTATTATTACCATGAGTATTATTATTATTATTATTATTATTATTATTATTTATATATTTTAATTATAATAATAATAAATAAATAAATAAATACATGCATAAATCTAAAATAATAATAATAATAATAGTAATAATAATAATAACAACAATATTTTATTATCATCATCAATATAAATAGTAATATATTATTATTATTATTATTATTATTATTGATATTATTAACATTACTATTATTATATTACAATGTATACATTTACATAAATATTATTTAAATATTAATTATATATTTATAATTATAAAATAATAATAAACAAATAAATAAATAAATGAATGAATATATAAATTTTAAATACTGAAGAAAATACAAAATAAATAAATACATCCATAAATAATAATAATAATAATAATAATAATAATAATAATAATAATAATAATAATAACTATATATAAATAAATAAATTATAAAAATATAATAATAATATTATTATTGTTTTTATTATGAATAATAGTAATAAAAATTATGATTAATATTATTATTATATTGTAATCTATATATTTGTACTTATAATAATAATAATAATAATAATAATAATAATAATAATAATAATAATAATAATGATAATAATAAATACATACATAAATATTAAACAACAACAACAATAATAATAACAACAATATATTATTATCATCATCAATAAAAATAAAAATATAATAATATTATTATTATTACTGTTATTATATAATAATGTATATATTTAGATAACTATAATTTAAATATGAATTATAATTTATAAATGTATAATTATAAAATAATAATAAACAAATAAAAAATGATAAAATAATAATAATAATAATAATAATAACAATAATAATTAAAAATAAATACATAATAATAATAATAATATATAAATATATAAATTTTAATTACATAAAATAACAATAATAATAATAATTATTATTATTTTTATTGTTAATAGTAGTAATAACCATTATTAATAATATCAATAGTAATAATAATAATTATTATTATTCAATAATTATAATTTATATATTAATTATATCTTATATATTTATAATTATAAAAAATAAAAAATAAATATTAAATGATGATGATAATGATGATGATGATAATAATAAATAACAATAATCAATTAGCAAAAGTGTATCAACATGATTTAATGGCTACAAAGGATTTCTAAATACTGTTCTTTTAAAACTTTTTTATATTCATCATAAAAACCAAAAATAATTTTCAACATTGATAATTAAAAGAAATGTTTGCAAAAACCATATTATAATGATTTCTTATGGAACTGAAACTGGAGTAATAATGTTGAAATTTGTAAATAAATGAAAATGAAAATGAAAATTGTAAAATTTGTTCATTTAAAAATCATAAATATTTGACGTTTTAAGGACATGCTTCATTCAAAAACAGTGTTGTTCACTGAACTGATTTGACTGATTGAAATAAAGGGAAAAACCAATGATGTGCTACCTTTAAAAATGAACACAGCATTAATATCACAGTTAAAGAGAGATACTCACTGTTTAGTGGTAATATATGTTCAGCTACTGGATGGTGAAAGTTGAGACCCATGCGACCTACAAGGAGATAAGAAGACACCATTAAAACATATGATTTAATGCAAAACAAATTTAAAACAAGAATAGTTATGGCCAATTCTCCAAAAAAAAAAGAAAAAAAAGAAAAGATTAATAATAAATAAATAAGATCCAATTTATTTTTTAATGCATATTAGGCTGAAAGTTGTTTTTTGAAATGCTGATGCCTTTGAAGATAACAGACCTGAACTAAAATCAACCAAATTCCAACTACTGTAGACTTGCATTGGCAACATGTGTTGGAATTGTGTCTTAGGCATGTCTACAGTTGATCTCAAACACATACACATCTACGAGTGTGTGTATATATTTTTAGGACAAAATTATTAGCCCCTTTAAGCTATATTTTTTCGACAGTCTACAGAACAAACCATCATTATAAAATAACTTGTCTAATTAACCTAACCTGCCTAGTTAACCTAATTAACCTAGTTAAACCTTTAATTTTCATTTTAAGCTGTATAGAAGTGTCTTGAAAAATATCTAATCAAATATTATTTACTGTCATCATGACAAAGATAAAATAAATCTGTTATTAGAAATGAGATATTAAAACTATTATGTTTAGAAATGTGTTGAAAAAATATCCTCTCTCTGTTTAACAGAAATTGGGGGAAAAAATTAAGAGGGAGGCTAATAATTCAGGGGGCTAATAATTCTGACTTCAACTGTGTGTGTGTGTGTGTATATATATATATATATATATATATATATATATATATATATATATATATATATATAATATATAATATATTATTTTTTAACACATCAATAGGTATGTAGTGGCACAGAGTTAGAATTCTTTCTTGACTGTTTCGCACAGAAACAGCAAAGCCGCATGACAAGACTTTGATGCAGAGATGCTATTGGTTAAATTATGGCAAAGTAGACCACGGACGCAGCTAGAAGCGGAAGACGCGAGTATGTCTGCGGTCTGGAGGTTTTATAAAGTTGATGACGACAACATTGCCATAGCAAACTGTGAGATATGTAAACTTGGGATAGTCTGCCGGGTATTTTAAGTAAAGGTGCTGTTTGTTTTTATATTAGATTTTTTTTGTTATACATTTACTGTTGCACTAAAGTCCAGATGTGAAGAGTTGATGTTATTTATTACTTTAATTTATTATTTAGTACTTGTTCAAGCTACCACACAGAAGTGCTCTGTTTGTTAGAGTTGTTGAATGTTAAAATAAGGAAATTCAAATAAAAAATAAGGAACATCCTGGATCTTTTTCTTCGCTCTTCTTTATCCTGTTTTTATGTATTTTAGAAGTATTGGATTGTGTTTCGGCATCGGTAGATACTTAAAATCAAATGACTCGGACTCGAGGGCAAAAAACCTTAGGACATCCCTAAAAATGATTATTATTTCTTTAATGACGTCCGATTGACGGCTTGGACAGAATATCCTTAACAGCCTGTTTACTGTGAATTAGTCAGGGATGCAAGAAAGACACTGAAGTAAAACCTGTCCTCTATTCAATGCTGAAGTAAAAATAGTTCCACTTCCCCATGATTTAAATCATGCTTAAGCTGAACTTCACTTATACACGACTGCAAGTCCACCAATACAACTCAAAACATCTATTTATGAATCTTTTTTCTAAAAGAGGACAGCCCCAAAGGTCCCTAAAGTATTTAGTCACTTTAAGTGAGTCATAATTGCATCCCCAAAGTACAAATAAACACACACACAGCATCTGTAGCTACACAAGGTGTTCATTTGCATGGCTGTAAAACAGCTGTTGATTTACTTTCAGAATCAGATCTCTAATGTGCCAGCATGAGCAGTTTTGCTTGCAAATGACAGCAACAACACTCCTGAGGGATTCCAGGGAACGCTGTTAGCAAGCCTCAACCGGCTCTTACGCAAATTCTGAACCGTCGCAAGTCACATTTGCAAACCTTTTCCCTACAGCACATCAAGGATCTCAGCGAGGCTTTGCCCTTCGATGGATCAACAAACTGTAGTGATGGTGAAATTTGGGCAACGTGCAGGAGTTTCAACAGGTATTTGGCCCTGTGAGGTTGCAAGATGTACAGGGCAAATGTTTCCCAGCTTGCATGTGTTGTTTTGGCGAGTGCTATATATAGCGTCTCTGGTGAGAACCAGCAGCTGTGCTGAGGCCGCATCTTTCGCATATTGAGTGAGAAAATAATCTCAAATGCAAATCAAAGCAGCTCAACCATCAACAGTAGCCAAAGGAGTAAATATTACTAATAAACAGGTATGAAGTTGACCTCTAAATGAATGGCACATCACAATTTCAGCATGAACCATCAACACTTTAAGAGCCCTATGATTCATTTATTTAACAGTGCGACAACAACAATAACACTACGCTTCAGATTCATAGTGATTTGAGTTAAATGTCACTGCTGAGTCATCTTGAACAAACAGTACAGACACACAACAAATAAACAGTCGTTACTATTCAGCAGGTTTTTTTCTCGTTTACACACGATATAAAGATCCTAACACTACACAGGAAGATGTTATTACCAAGGTGACTTATAGGTAGGCCCACACGGAATCTGCGCGCACAGAATTCCGCAGATTTTCCACAGATTTTTAGCCTATTATTAATTCTGTTTATTTAATTGAGTAAATGTGTGTAAATCTGAATTTATTCAGTTTTTATTCAGTAATTTATTACTTTTTATTTAATATATTAAGGTTTTAGTTATGATACTCCCAAAATAATTCCTCAGAAATCCGCAGATTTTTACCAAATTTCTCTGCAGAAACAGCCAAAAACATTCGCAGATTCCGTCTGGCCCTGCTTATGGGGCACCTAGGTTACCCCTTTTTCAGATTTAATATAAGTCTTTTGTGTCTCCAGAATGTGTCTGTAAAGTTTCAGCTCAAAACACCCATCAGATTTTTCAATATACGTTTTATAAGTTTCTATTTTATACCTTTCAGCATCAGGTAGCGGTTTTGTTGTACTGTGCCTTTAAGGCTAGTCCTCCTCGCCCACCATTTCTACGTGCCTTAATCTCCTCCCTCGGCTGATTCAGACAACAGTCAGACTTAAACGAAGCAGATCTCACGTAGCGTTTGTGAGAAAGACTGCAGTAAGAACTTTACCAATGAGTATTTAATGCATTTATTGTGGAGTTGCATCAATGAGACACACAATGTCATCACAAAGTTCTCGCATACACACACCCAGCGCGGACACACACACACAGACAGCACGCGCGTTTAGCTTTGCACTCTTTTTACACGCATATGTGACAGGATACAGGTTAATCTCCACTGCTGTATGGATATCTGTTATGCTACAAAATAAATCTGATTTAACGTCCACAAACCGGGATTGAAGTGTCTTCATTCATAATTGTTCTGGCTGTGCTGTTGAAGTAAAGCTGAAGTAAATAGCGGTAATTCATTACACACATGCGCTGTTTGAAAACATTTCAAACTTTTAAAACTCAATCATGATCACATTTGATGGTCCTAGCAAACTGAACAGACCTTTATTCCCAGTTGCTTTGCGCTCGTCCTGTGTTGTTGATATGGTTATACGGATTACTACGGAGACAAGATGATACGCAGCTTTCAATCAATATTGGTGAGCAGGTAAACCGCACTCCTACGTCAAGTTGCGGTTGGTCTGAAAACTGCTCCCATTGGTCCACCGTTTTTATGCTGTTAAATTGAAAAAAAGGACTGGGTGGGTTTATTTAACCCCAATATGACGATCTATACACTATATCTACACACATGTCTGTCCAAACAGCTTGAAAAGTAGATTTTTCACCATAGGTGCCCTTTAAAGAGATCACACAAAAATTAGAATTACCTCATTATTTATTTTCCCGCGTGTGGTTTTAAACTTGTATGAGTTTCTTTCTTCTGTTTAAGACAAAAGGAGATATTTTGAAGAATGATAGTTGATGGGATCCTTTAAATTTTATAATAGAAAAAATATTAAAGTGAAGGGGGAGTAAATGATGGCTTGGAGAATGTTAATTTTTGGGTAAACTATCCCTATTTAAACCTAAACTTGATTCAGTTTTTGTCTGTCCAAGCCAAAGAGCTTAGAATGACCAAGTGGCGACACTCAATAGAACGTTCCATTGCAGCAGCAGCCCCGGACTGCGCCATTTTAGAGTGAAAGCGATCGGCTGTCTATTGAATCTTAGTCCTGCTGCGATGGCAAGCAGCTGCTTTGTTTTTTATTTATTTATTTAAAAAGTGCATTAAAGCTGAAATACAACCTGAAAAAAAGACAATACAACACTTACTATCACAATCATCAGCACTTTTAATAGTTCATTTTACAGACTTCTAATATGCTGTTGTTCTATTGGAATTTCCTTTCAAAAATAACTGCCGTGCCCTCTAGTGGCTGTTTCCCAAGATGCACTAGAGTGTTGCCTCTTGGCGATTCTATGCTCTTTGCTATGGCTGGTGGTATATCAAGTGTGCATGATATATCAATATATGTTTTTAAATAAACAATACGGCATTTTTCATATTTTCCATCCTCAAGCGAAATTTCCAAACCACATAAATTCCTACTGAAATGACTTTAATTTAACAATTTTGCACACAGTGCGGAACGGTGGCTCAGTGGTTAGCACCGTTGCTGGTTCAAGTCCCAGCATTTCTGTGTGAAATTTGCATGTTCTCCCCATGTAGACGTGGGTTTCCTGCAGGTGCTCTGGTTTCCCCTACAGTCCAAATACATGCGCTATAGGTGAATTAAAAAAAACTAAATTGGCCGTAGCATATGAGTGTGAATGAGAGAGTGTATGGATGTTTCCCAGTAATGGGAAAGGGCATCCGCTGTGTAAAACATATGCCGGAATAGTTGGCGGTAATTCCACTGTGGTGACCCCTGATAAATAAGGGACTAAGCCGAAGAAAAAAGAATGAAGGAATTTAGCACACAAAAATGTGCTAACTAGCCATAAATATGGCCACATCTATATTTAGTGTATAAATTTAGTTCACTTTATATATT